AATAATTTGTTTTCATCGATGTTCTTCGAAAACAATAGATAATGTTGCAATTTACAAATGACTGATGTTGAGTAATATTCGTAAGAAATTAAGGGTGGATGTGGGTGTGGTTCATGTCCTCATCCACACCTTTTCAATCATTAAATTATATTGTTCAGAATGATAAGATTGCCGATGTCGAAGGTAAATCTGTAGCAGAGAATGTAGTTCGAGGCTACGCAATGATTTGGACATATTATCATGAAAGTGAAAAGGGCAAAATTAGCTAGAATATCTTAGAACCTAATATGGATATCATTGTGAGGGTGTGGGTGTTCATTGAGAAGACTCACACCCACACCCACACACCCAAACCCACACCCACACCCACACCTACATCCACACCCACCCACACCCACACCCACCCACACCCACACCTACATCCACACCCACCCACACCCACACCTATATCCACACCCACCCTTTTCATCGAAAAATTCACTCCTACTTCTCTCAGGGTTCGACCAAAAAATGTACTGCATGAAAACATTATTCTGGTAGGAACAAACAAGTTCTAAGGCTGTAAAATGTTAGTAGAGCACAAACTGCTACATGTCTAAATCATGAAAATAGCGTTTTGGCGAAGTTCAGTTTTTGGTCAAACCCTGAGAAGAGTAGAGATGAACTTTTCAATGAAAAACAAATATCTCAAAAATATCTGAAACACTATAGGTCGACTCAGTTTTTGATCCAGATTTAGAATATGATATTAGTTGTAATTAAATCGTTATTTTTCTAATCGAAATCTCTTAAATAACGCCCAAAAAAAGGCACAAATTTGAGTTATGGAACTATGTTCTCCCATCTTTTTTGGCTCTTGTTCAAACTTTTTCAAAATCTCCTATAAGGATTTTCTAGAGCACAAAATGCTCTACAAGGTACACTATATTAAAATTACTCCCCAATCTTTTATTATATTAAAAAAGGACGTACAATGGGAAAAAAGCTTGGTTTAAAAAATGCGAAGTCTTTTACAAGAAAAATGTTTGCTATGTCAAGGCTCAACTTTTTAAAGGAGTAATAAGTGGTTTGTTGTTCAGTTTTACATGCTCTTTTGAATGAGATGTTGTCCGGTCTGAGCGAACGAAAAATAACGGAGATAACGGCAAAACAATGCAAAGTGATGAAACTGATTCAGATTCGCTCTCTGTTCTAATGCCTATAACTCTGTCAAATCAAAACACAGAAACCTGAAAATTTTTTCAAACCTCAGTTTGATGTGAGAAATCGGTTGAAGAAACAAAAATATATGTTAATTTCGACCATAAAATTGACTTTTTCGATCGAGTCGTAAAATCTCTCTTAAATAATTTCAACATAATGATTATTTCGTTCAATTTCCTATGAAGAATAGAGTTAAAACGCGAGATTATGCTTCTTATTAAGATATTAAATTAAAAAAGAAACCTATACTACAGTAAAATATGAAATAATGAAAAAAAATGTCATTTGAAAGTTCATCATAAAAGTTTAGATAACTTGGTGAGCAGGTACGCCAGACCAATTTGTGTTAGGTGGCAGTTGATCATTCTTCATCACAAGTGTCCATGGTAAGATGCGATTTTGTCCTTGGAGTGTTGCTCCAGGAAGTATTAACGTATTACTCATCAGCACAGTAGAATAGCCTATAGTAATTGGTGCTAGTTTCAATATACGTTGTTCGAATGTATGAGCCTGAAGAAAGAAATAGAAAGAATAGCATAAACAAAATATAATAGAATTGTGTCTTACTTGTACGACAGCATTCCTATTCAGACGAACATGATCACCAATATTAACTAGATGAGGATCAGTAAGACAACGAATATCAGGCAGAATAACATCAGATGCGATTTGAGCACCAAGTATACGAAAAAGAAAAACAAGAAATTGTGTTCCTGATAGATATGCTCCGACAAAAATAGAAAAGTCGTTTAACAACCTACGAAGAAAGTATTTTTGACGAGTAATAATCTCTGAATATGTGAAATGTGAGCGTTTTTTTGTAAATAAGATCGAACAGTGATAGACTGCACAAGAAAGAATTGCATGAATAAATAGTGCAGCAGTAACTGGTAATGATGAATATAAAGTAATGAATAGACACTTGCTTATAAAGAAACTGAGACAGGTAAGCAGCAGAGTATAAATGGATATGGAGTTCGAAGATGATAAATCATTTACAATAGACGTATCATCAGGCATTACAAATGGCATATCACGAGCTGGAATACCGAGTAATACACAATTACCTTCGGCACTAAATGTTTTTTGTGTAACCAATGTAAGGCTTCCAACGATTACTTTAGGAGGAAGTCTTGTAGCTGGCATAATGGTACACCAATTGCCAAGATTTGCATTCGAGCCTAGATGTATTTCATCAAGGAAACAAAGTCCTTGTTTCGTCATTTTGAATGAAGCAAGATTAGCTCCACCAAATGTCGTCACATTACCTTCAATGTTAAGAAGATTTGATGGAAAACGTAATATTTGTTGAAATTCAGCGAATTTGACGTTGCCTTCGATATGAGCACCCAACCATCGTAAAATGTAGGATGAAATGGCATCGTATGATGGTAAAAAATCTAATGCTTGATGAAATGATGTTATAATCAATTGACGTAACCATAATTTGTGCAAGTAATCGTAAGAATTAATTGAATAGTATCCTGATGTAGCACGTCCTACAATAAACTTCAATAAAGCTAAGGCAATACAAAAGCTTGTCAGTGTCCAGATCAACCATGCTAAAGCAAGACTGATAGGTAATGGTAATAACAATGTTGAACAATAAGAATGGACACCATAAACTAAGAGCAGAATTATTCCATGAATAAAGAGAAGACATAGTAGACAAGTGGATTGATACACAGTGTGAATCAATGATAATGATCGATCTTTGATAAATGTTTTGCCTTTCGATGTTGTAATGACTCCTGTGATAGCAGACATTGGTTTTACATAAACATGATCTTCTATTATTACATCTTCATAGAGTACACTATGTGTATTGATTGAACAGTATGATCCAATACGAATTCGATGAAGTCGATAGGTTTGATCCTGATATGATAAACTTGAAAGTACCACTTCTTCGCCAATAAATGATGATTCTCCCGCTTCAAGCAACCAAGGAGCATCGATCAATGTAGTGTATATATGTGTATGACATTCAATTTTTGCACCACATAATCGAAGATAAGAATTATAAAATGGTGTACCTAATAAATGCTTTAACCAATAAGAATTATTAGTCGACCATAAACTATTCAAAAACCACCAACGATAATAATGCCATGAATATAATTTTTCTACTTGGTTCGTGATTTCGTTCGGATAAAACAGCAAACGTTGACAAATAACATATGAGAAAAGATGAAAAACAGGTACAAAAATAAGAGCGATCAAGGAGCTAGACTGGAAGGCTAGCCATATGGGGAACAGCCACTGATATATGAGTAATATAATGCCTAATATTTCGATGCATAAGGATGGCATTTGCCGATCTTGATCTTCTTGCAACAATTGCAAAGTAGTAGTCGTGATCGGCGAGTCATCGTACGTGACAAGTTGTGGTTCAATGATTCGTGCAAGTTGTCGAATCGAAGGATTTGAAAATAAGAGACGAACATCAACCTTTGTACATATTTCTTGTCGAATGAGTACAAGTGCTCGTATAACATCAAGTGATGTACCACACAACTGTCCAAATGTCATATTTACGTTTGGTGATTCATTGTGAAATGCCTCGCCAAATATACGTTGTAGATGTTCTTCCAGTGATGTTAATGGGATTCCATCAGTTTGATCGATATTCGTCAACGACGCAAATTGAGGTGCTGGAAGAAGCTTTCGATCTATTTTTCCATTTGCATTCAAAGGTAGTTTCTCCAGCAGAACGAATAATGATGGAATCATATGCAGTGGAAGGTGATATTGACAATGCTGACGTAATTGTTCTTCATTGATATTAGAACTTTGAACATAAGCAATCAAATGATCATCATCCCATTTGATGACAACACACGCAGAAATTGATGTCTTCAATAAACATTGTTCGATTTCTCCTAGTTCAATACGTTGTCCATGTAACTTGATTTGATGATCTTTTCTTCCTTGATAATGAAGAAGACCATTGCTATCCATTCGAACAAGATCACCTGTTCGATAAAATGTTTCATCATCTATTCTAATAAGTGCTTTTGCTGTCAAATCATCACGTTTAAGATAACCAGCGAAGACACCTACACCTCCAACATATAGTTCGCCTTGTTGTGAGATGACAACAGATTGCAAGAAATTATCCAAAATCAAACATCGGTAATGAGGCAATGAATGTCCGATAGGAATATTGATTATACCAATACTCATATCGAGAATATGGAACGTGCAATCAACTGTTGCTTCAGCCGGACCGTAAATATTCCATATGCATGCATGTTTTGGTAGATGATACTGTAATTTTTCAATCAGTTTAACTGTGCTCATGTCTCCTGGAAAACACAAGTAGAATGCTTCTAATAAATAAAACGAACTGCTTACCGCCAATATCAAGGTTGCGCAGGGTGCAGAAATCTGATGGATTCTTCTTTGGAATGGAATCTAACAAATTGTGGAGATAAGCTGGAACACTTTGCATGTATGAAATCTGTTTTTTTTTCATCATCTTCATAACATATTCGAAGTCCATATTCCCCTGAGGATGAAGCATGACAATGCTAGCGCCAGCGACTAATCCTCCTATGATTTCTTGAACATGTACATCGTATGAACAACTTGCCAGTTGCAACATATTATCTTTTATAGTGAACAACTCCACAACTACAAGAGAATAAACGCATCCCATAAAACTTTGTTGACGAATTTGAATCTGAAAAAAAAACACATCGATGATACACTTGACATATAACATGCTATGAACATACTGCTTTTGGTATTCCAGTTGAACCACTTGTAAAAATAATGTAAGCAATATTCTTCGATGCAATCATCACACTTGACAGTCGATCGATGTCAATATGACAGCCTACGTCAGTGTCAGTGAACACTCTATCAATATCAAGTGACATAATATCATGATTAAATTTAGCTTGTGTTAAGTAATGAACAAGA